GCGCAATGATCACAATACCAACATGGGCCAGTGAAGCGATGTCCTCCACAACTAGACTGAAGAACAAAAGGACAGCAACTTGTCTGTTCCCCTTCTCCGATTCCCCAACGCTGTTCCCCTCCCCCAGTTCCCCAATAAAATCTTTAAAAAAAAAAGTGATATTGGCAGTGGCAGAGGAATTCAGATAAATCTGTTACTAAGGCAGTCCTTCATGGAGAGCTAAGGAGAGAGAAGGAAGAGCAGGAAGAAACACAAGGGGCAGTGGTGGGGGAAGGAGGGACAGAAAGAAAGCTGGGTAATTGAAGGGCTGGACTGCGATAAGAGGTCGCCCAGGACACCTTCCCGCTGCAGGCCAAACACCCCTGGGTGTTTTTCTTAGTCCAAAGAATCTCCAGGAAATAGACTCTTTATTTCAATATAAGAAGGCATTTCAGGCTCAGACAACACTTAGCTTAGAAGGTGCTCCAAGAAGAAGTTCAAAAGTCAATTCCATGTGCAGATGAATGCACTGTATAGAACAGAGTGGCAAAACCAGGCTCTATAAAAGCATCTGACATTAGGCTGCTCAGTTAACGGCAGGAATGTGATAAATAATACACATAAAATGCACAATTGTTACCATAGTTAAGAAACAACTGAATGCTGAAAAAAATCAATTAAAGTTATATGTATTGAGGATTGTTTTCCTTCTAATCAGCTGATTGACCGACCTTTCCTTCAATTCTGCTTCTAAAAATGTGCCTTTCCAGGGGCGGAGTGAAGAAATGAAGTCAGGCTGATGCCTGCGGTTAATTAAAAAACAGTAGTCCTAGGGCGCCACCTACTGGTGAGATAGCTGCAAAGGCCTGGCAGAGGAGGCTGTCCAAACGGTAGCAGCAACACATCTCTAAAATCAGTGCTTGCAAGTTGTGTTCTGACACATGCTAAAAATGTATCTTTACGTCAGGGACACAGCTTGACCCAAACTGAAACCGAATCAGTAGTCAGAGCTGGGTTTAATAGAATCTAATTTCATTTGAAATGCCAC